GAGAGAGAGAGAGAGAGAGAGAGAGAGAGAGAGAGAGAGAGAGAGAGAGAGAGAGCCAATCAATTGCAGAAGCTTCTAACTTCACCCATCATTTTGTCTGCAAACAGAATCAAATACTGACTTCTAGGAAAATTCCCTACAAGAAAATGGTGCTATTTTTTTGCAATACTTCTCAGTTAAATGTTGAAATGATGCAAGATAGTGATCAATAGTTGATTGACCTTCCCAAATCTGTTCCTTGCCTGAAAGCTAAGCTGAGCATCCTATTCCAGCAATCCGTGAATTTACAGTTTACTGTATAAGTGCTTAGCCAAAAGATTACAGATTCTGCTTATTGGCCAATAATTTTCTAGGTCACCCTTTGCTGTTTCTAAAAAAAGGGGAGGATAAATGCAACCCACAATCCCTAGGGATTTACTTAAAATATGTGAATGGTGAGCCTCAGATTAGCCCCATCATGAAATGCTATTTTTTTTATCAGCTCTACTGAGATTAAACCATTTCCAGCAGCTTTCTCAGATCTTAACTGGGAAATTAAATTATTAAGGGCAGCTCCCCTCACCAGTGGCCAATCTCACCTGGTGTCTGGACCCAGGAAATCCTAAAGCTTCCAGAAAACAGGGCTCACCAACCTCTGTATATTCATTAAAATGTTTTTTTCTAAGCTTTGGGCGTGATATAACTGTCCGATAGCATTTGAACATTGGAAGATCTGCATTTTTTCCCCAAGCATTTCCCCCTCACTGCAGAATCCACAGGGTTTTTTTTGTGTGTGGGGGGGAATCAACCAAGTATTAGTTGTGACAGGATTAATTAAAGGAATCAAGAGATTGGCAGATCTGCAACCATTTGCCAAAACAGAGAAGAGAAATACAAGCAAGCTTCCCAAAGCAGCTATTTATCTTGGATGACATCCCATGTTCTCTTTCTCTTACTCTGAAGCAGTTGCTTAAATAATTATTATTGTATGTTGCACAGCCATCCAGATGTTCGGACTGGATTTGACATTCTTATCTAACAACTAGGTCCTTTCTAAGGACCTGGGATAGACAGATGTTGATTTTTGATGCTGTTAGACCGCAGTGGGGGGATTCAGCCGGTTTGTACCTATTTGGGAGAACCAGTTGTTAACTTTCTAAGCAGTTCAGAGAACCTGTTGTTGGAAGAAATCTCATTTTGTTTCCCCCCGCCCCACTTTGCAGGGCTAATCCTGTAAGGANTGTGTTCTGTTAAGATACAGCCTGTTGTGCCTTAAAATGGCTTCTACTGTACTGCCATAAAATGGCTTCTACTGTACAGTGCAGTGGAGTTGCCATGGTAACAGCTTCACAGTACTCCACAAGGGGGCTCCCTCTGGTAAGGGAAAAAAAATCCAACATTAGAAATTATGTTTGGTCCAGACCTTTCCCCCCTGTAAACAAATACCCGGGCAATGCCAGGTTATCGGCTAGTAAATAAATAAAAACATGCATAATGTACCCTCCATTACAGGGGCATTGGTTCTGCTTCACTCTGCGAGCATGTGCAATTCACTGTAAATTGTTCTGTGCATGCGCAAAGACCATGAAAAACTGATGAAAAACATTCCGGCAACAGCAGCAGAGACCAGGGAACTGGTTCAGGGGTGTGGCCAGCCTGGGATGCTGCTGGTTCTGCGACCCAGGCCATATTACCATTACCGGTTTGCCCGAACAAAGTGAGAACTGGTAGAAACCCACCTCTGCTCCATTACCTCTTTCTTTTCGTTTGTTTGTAACCCTGTGTTTGCAAAATAAACCTTGGCCCCTCTTAATAATTTAACTTCCCAGTGAAGATGTGAGAAAGCTGCTGGAAACGGTTTCATCCCAGCAGAGCTGAGATTCTTAACTTAAAGGCTTGAACCACGAACAACCCCTTGGATTATCCTACCATCCTTCATCACGGTGAGATGAATCAGCGTCGAGCTGGTGAAGATGGGCCGGTGGGTCTCAAAGAGGAATTCTCGAGTTACATTGCAGGTGTAGATCCCCGAATCGTTCAGGGAGATGTTTAGGACCGAGATGGAGACGTCCTGCATATCTGCACTCCCGTTCCATTCAAGCCGGCCCTGAAAAGGACTCTCAAGTTCCCGTTTCTCGTTGTTGAATTCGTAGATCTGTAAAAGTCCAGAAAAAAAAGGAGACATCAACTTTAGTAAAAGTCCTTAGACTTATATAGCAATAGCACTTGGACTTATATACCACTTCAGGGTGCTTTCCAGCCCTCTCTAAGCGGTTTACGGAGTCAGCCTCTTGTGCCCCCAACAATCTAGGTCCTCACTTTACCTACCTTGGAAGGATGGAAGGCCGAGTTAATCTTGAGCTGGTCAGGATCGAATTAGGGGCAATTGGCAGAATTAGCCCGCAATACTGCATTCTAACCACTGGGGAGGGAGGGAGGAATAGCACTTAGACTTATATACCATCTCATAATGCTTTACAGCCCATCTCTAAGTGGTTTACAGAGTCAGCATCTTGCCCCCCAGCAATCTGGGTCCTCATTTGACCGACCTCAGAAGGATGAAAAGCTGAGTCAACTTTGAGCTGTTGAGGACCGAACTACCAACAATTTGCAGAATTAGCTTGCAGTACTGCATTCTAACCACTCGGAGGGAGGGAGGGAGGGAGGGAGGGAGGGAAGGAAGGAAGGAAGGAAGGAAGGAAATAGCAATAGTGCTTAGACATACATACTGCTTCACAGTGCTTTCCTTTCTCTAAGCTGTTTACAGAGTCAACCTATTGCCCCAACAATCTTCATTTACCATTCCCGTAGTGCTTTACAACACTTTCTGGCTGGTTTACAGTGTCAGGATTATTTGCATATTGCCCCCCCCCCCAACAATCTGGACCCTCATTTTACCAAATGGAAAGGATGGAAGGCTGAGTCAACCTCCAGAATAACAGACTTGGAAGGTCTTCTAGTCCAACCCTCTGCTTGAGCAGGAGACCTTATACCATTTCAGAAAATTGGCTGTCCAATCTCCTCTTGAAAAACCTCCAACGAAATACATCTGGTGTGAAGGTCCTTCTGCATCTACACTGTTTAAAACTAGGAGCAGATACTACTGTGTCTCTCCTGCTTTCTCTGTTACAAAGATGTGTAAGACTTTGGGTTGAGATGGATAGGTGTAGATTTATTTTGATGTGAGGCTTTGTGAGAGTTCTAAATTGGCCACATCCCACTGAGAGTGACTAGACAGGAGATTACACAAGTAGAGATAATTGCTACAATAGGGTTCTTTCCCATAAGGCTGATATCCATCTACAAGCGCTTGGGGGACGAATCCTACAGCATTAAGAGTCTTACAGTATTAGAAAATGGGTAATAAAAAGTTTAACTTAGCTGTCCATATCTTAAGGTTAAGGTAAAGATTCCCCTTGCACATATGTGCTAGTCGTTCGCGATTCTAGGGGGCGGTGTTCATCTGCATTTCAAAGCCAAAGAGCCAGCACTGTCCGACGACATCTCCATGGTGACTAAACACTGAAGGTTCCCACCAAAGTGGTCCCTATTTTTCTACTTGCATTTTTACATGCTTTCGAACTGCTAGATTAACAGAAGCTGGGACAAATAACGGGAGCTCACTCAGTTACGCGGCGCTAGAGAAGCCATTTTATGGCGGTACAGAAGAAGCCATTTTAAGGCACAACAGGCTGTATCTTAATAGAACACACACCCCAAGGAGTTTTAGTCAGTGGTGAAATTCATTTTTTTTTACTACTGGTTCATTGGGCATGGCTTGGTGGGTGTGGCAAGGGAAGGATACTGCAAAATCCTCATTCCCACCCCACTCTGGGGCCATCCAGAGGTGGCATTTGCCAGTTCTCTGAACTACTCAAATTTTCCGCTACCGGTTCTCCAGANATGTGGCCCTGTCCAACAATAAACCATCTTTCCAAGCAGCCTCCATGTCTCCAGTGTCTTTTCCCCCACTTGGAGCCAAACCCAGAAGGACATTTTTTTTATCAGCACCTGGGAAGATTACATCACCCAGCAAGGCTCAACCAAGGCTGGGACTCAGGACACCCTACAAAGTTACCCTTGCATGGCCCCGTGGGAGCCTGGCAACCAATCAGAATACAAGCTCAAATTCAAAAGGGTATAAAAACTAAGGCATTCTCAGTATCTCTTCCCCATTTTTCCCCCTTTATCCATCATCAAGGCATCTGCTCCTGTCCACCATTAAACCATCTTTCCAAACAGCCACCATGTTTCCAGTGTCTCCCCTCCCCCCTCAACTTGGAACTGAACCCAGAAGGACATTTCTTCCAACAAAACAATATTGCAATATTGTTGTCTTGTGATTTTTTAAAATTAAGTTTCTTTGCTTGTGAAAAAGGCAACATGTTTTTCTATCTAATTGCCGGGGTCCCACTATCTCTTTCCAACATATCCTGATAATTATTGACTAGGTTTCCACCGTCTTACCGTGAAGATGCCAAAATGACTGCTCAGTTCAACTTATTTGTGCCGTCATAAAAAATATGGCCAAGATGTATTTGGGTTGTACTTGGAAAAAGTTCAGAGAACTAAGATTATCAAAGGCCTGGAGACTAAACCGTATGAAGAATGGCTGGTGGTCTTGGGTTTGGCTAGTCTAGAGAAAAGAAGAATTAGGGGCGACATGATAGCAGTATTCCAGTATTTGAAGGGCTGCCTTAAAGAAGAGGGGGGTCAAATTCTTTTCCAAAGCACCTGAGGGCAAGACAAGAAACAATGGATGGAAGCTAATCAAGGAGAGAAGCAACTTGGAATTAAGGAGAAAGTTCCTAACAGTGAGGATAATTAACCAGTGGAACAGAAGTTGCCACCAGAAATATTGGCTGCTCCACCACTGGAGGTTTTTAAGAAGAGACTAGGCAGTCACTTGTTGGAGATGGTATAGGTTCTCTTGCTTGAACAGGGGGCTGGACTAGAAGACCTCCAAGGTCCCTTCCAGCTCATGTTGTGTTCTGTTCTATTCTACNAATAAACCATCTTTCCAAGCAGCCTCCATGTCTCCAGTGTCTTTTTCCCCACTTGGAGCCGAACCCAGAAGGACATTTCTTTCATCAGAATAGAATTGCAACCGCAGTTACAGGAAAAATCCAAAGCAGAATAAAATAATAAATAAAAAGTCAAGGGATGCTAATAGAAAACAGCAGGAGACCAATGGAACAAAAGGGAAGATAATGAACAGATAATAAAAAGCAGAAGGAAGATTAAAATGGATCTTCCAAGCAAACTTCTCATGAACCCTCCTAACTGCAAATACTTAATTTCTAAACTGAAGCCAAATCCCTCCTTTTGCAACGAACAGCAAGAAAACAAAATAACAGGTGAAGCTATGAATCCCTAAGGATTCCTCGTCTATTCTCACACAACCTCAAATGGTTTGAAGTGTTAGCTGCAATTCATGACATAGCCACATGGGGACAGCACAGAGCAACCCAGAGAATAGTGCGTTTTCACACCCGGAGTTTAAAACAAAAAAAAATCTCAACATAAACAAACAGAACGTCACCAAATACGCAACGTTGGGATGAGCGCTTTCTGGTCTTGCAGCAAAAAAGGCTCAGAATTGTATGACCCTCCCTCCACCCTCCCAGTCTCCCCACTCTGACCGGGGTTTTATGACCCCTGATGACTAAAGTAAGCATTTCCTGGCCAATTTTTTTTTAAAAAAAGATGGTTAATCTTGTGAGAAGTTAAATGAAGGTTTAAAACTGGAGAAAGTCAGCCCCCACCCACCTCTCCTAGAAGAATGAAGCATTTTAGGGAATGCAGAATGCAGAAGGCAGAATATTATATTTCCCTGGATGAGAAAAGGAGAAATGTGTTTAAAGACAAACCAGCTTCCTGAATCTCCCTGCCCCACCTTCAGCTCCAGGGTGATGGGATTAAGAAATGGCCCCTAGGACATGATAAGATTAGCCCCCTACCCATCTCACCACAAGGCCCTGTAGGAAGTTATCACCCAGCCCTCTCCCAGAAAAATGAAATATCCTAGGAAATATTGAAAAGGCAGAATATTTCTCTGGATGTGAAAAGGAAGAAACATGGTTTAAAAGGCAGAATAGCTGCCTGTAGCTTCCTGCCCATCCCCACTTTGTTAATGGGCTATTAAGAAGGCCAAGCTAGTCCCTAAGGGACTAGCTTG